AAAAAAAAAAAAAATACATCAGAAGCCAATTCTATTAAAATAGTTACCCAAGTCTGAAAGCATTAATCTGTGACACAGGAATACTATGAATATGAATTCTTTATTCTCCCTAATTTCAAAATAGTGATGATTGTGAATAACGTTTCCATTATCTGCTACCCTGTTAATACGAGATAGACCACAAAGTCAGAGTTTCTGGAAGCTACAGGGGTTTGTTACCTACATTTACAATTAGAAGAAAATTTAACTTTTATTGGTTAGAGGTTAGAGAAAATGAAGTCAGGTTAGGACTCCAGATTAAGAATGTCTGTACTAGGTACCCAAGGAATATTTTTGTAAAGTGAGAACAAATTGATGGATGGATGAGTTCAGGCGTCCCTGTCAAATGCTCTTTGAGCCCTTAGGCAACCCTCACATCATTTAGCATGTATTGAGTGCCTACTGTGTACTAGACACTCGAGGAATTAAACCAGATGAATTCTCACCCCTGGGAGCAGCCGCTTGTGAGAGCATCCCAAGGAGCGGGGAGGGCACTGAGGATGAGCCCATCTGCCCTCTTCTCCTTCTCCTGCCCCCCTCCCAACTCAGGATCTGAGTAGCAGAGAAGCAGCACAACAAGAAGTTCTCATAATCAGAAAAATCAGTCTGAGCTCTTTTCGTGACCTCAAAATTATTCCCGTTTTGGCAGCCAGTGTTCTAGGCTATGTTAATCCTACTCGAGAGGAGCAGGCGCTGGTGGTGGGGTGATTGCCGGCACCCACCGCCTCATTAGGACAGCAGGCTGCTCTGAAGGCAGAGAGGCGGACCCCCGGGGCACGGAGGCTGACAGTTTCATGCCTCCCCAGGCGGGGCTGTGGGGCCTCGACTCCTGCTCTCCCACCGCCTGCAGCCCGTGTGGCCACTGCAGCCTGCACTGTGGTTGAGAAGCAGAACCCACAGGAATGTGTGTGTAGGTGAGCAGTGCCAGATGTACAGACATTAAATTAAACATCTGCTCGCTAACTGCCCCCTCCCCAGAAAATAAAAAGAAAGGTAATTTCAAAGAAGGAAACACTGTCACTCCCCAGGTAACGAATTAGTCGTTACCTTATGCTCTCCGGGGCCGAGCCTTGCCCACAACCCAAACTAGATGGTAAACATGGACATTTTTAGAAGTTAATTTAAAACCAATTTGAACCCCAAATTCATTGCCTGGATATAGAATCCTAATCAATCAGTCAGCACTCTAGCCAAATCACCAAAGCCTGGTGTCACCTCTGGGGGTTAACTAGAAACTGTTATGTGCTGTTTGAGAAATAACTTTATGTAATGGGCTTACACCAGTAAGAGTCTGGCTTCCACACAAGTGTGAATTCTGCCGGCTTGGGGCCTCGTTTATTAACACGTGCAACTCTGGACCTCTACAGAATGATGCCTAGATGATTTTCTTTTTTTCTTAGTGAGGAAGATTGGCCCTGGGCTAGCATCCGTGCCCATCTTCCTCTACTTTATATGTGGGACGCCTGCCACAGCATGGCTTGATAAGCAGTGCCTAGGTCCACACCCGGGATCCGAACCTGTGAACCCCAGGCCGCTGAAGCAAAGCGGGCGAACTTAACTACCACACCACCGGGCCGGCCCCCCTAGACGCTTTTTGATAGAGACAGGTACCTTCTTTCATCTCCCTCAAAAGCATCAGAAAAAAGAGAATGCTTTTTCTCTCCCTTCTCTCACCTTAAAAGCTTAGTTCTTAATTTGTTTCTGCTCTGCAGAACACCGCTTGCCCCAAATTACCAACTAGTACCCCCAAATGTCCTGTCTGCAGAAGATGTCTCTGTTGGACGGGGGGTGGGGGGGCGGCCCTGGGATTATTTTGATGTAATGCATTATGTCCTCACAATTCACATTAGTGTGACAACAGTTGGAATGTGGGTTAAAATGCCTAAATTAGAGTAGACTTTTATCAGCCATCATCCCAGTTACGGGGCCTCCAGCTAACTACCCCACTTGCTCACCTCTTTCCGTCACAAACATTTCCGCAGCCATTTACGAGCATTTCAGATTGCCTTCGAGTCCTCTGGGTCAGAATACCCCAAACCAAAAAAATATAGTTTTCTATATTATGAAAATCAAGCTACGTTTAGGTTCATCACAGAAGTAAATCATAAGAGCTTATAATGTGGCAATCCAAAAAAGAAAAAAAAAAAAAACTGTTCTCAATCATCCGATATTTTCTTTCTAAACCAGAATTCCCAAATGCCGCTTGTTTGACATGAAACTCACCCAGGAGCAATCTGCGGAAATCTTTTGTTTTTGGGCAAGAAAAAAAAATTGGAGCTGACTTCCCAGCTGGACCCCCAAGATGCCCCATTTCCCTTGTCTGTCCTAGTGTGCCCCTGGCCCCACGTTTCCTTCTGGAATGGCAAAACCTGGGATGTTTGCTAGTTCCCTCGTCAGCCTTGCTTTGACAAGTGGCTGTTCCAAGGACATTTACCTTTCAGAATGATGCTGTGGACTACATTCTGGGCAGCAGCTCCTTTTAAAAAACAAAAAAACACCAAGATGTGTGTATCTAGTTCCTTTCTGGCCCCTACTGAGCCTTTTCGCTCCAAAATGCAGCCCGACTACTCCCATGCAATTTGGTTTTGCATCTGTTGCCTGTTGATGTGTTTTAGTGTAGACTCAGCTCATGAGACTCTGAAAGGCAGGAACAACTGCAAATAAGGCCAAAGAGAGAGGAAAACGGATTCACAGCCTGCGGTAACGGAGGGCTGTGGTTGCACCTGGCAGCTCTGGGGCGGCCAGTTTTCCCTATTATAAATAACGCAGCAATGGACATCTTTGTTCCGTAACTCACTGCGACTTTTCAGCTACCTCCTTCTCATCGACTCTAAGCAGTGGGGTTCCAAGGGCACGAGTCTTTTAAAGGCTCCTGGTCCTTGTCACCACATTCAGTTTCCAAAAGAGGAGAGGGAACGGTGCTCACCTTCCAAGGTGCAATTTCTGAAGATGACAACCACTCTTCTCCACCCGGAGGCTGCAGACTGCCGTGAGGAGAGTGGGGCTCTCAGCACAGAAAGGGGGAGGAGGGCGGTCAGACAGGCAGGGTTTTGGCCCATCTCTGCCACTTCCTGGCTGAGAACCTCGGCAAGCCCCCGGCCCGGAGTTCCAGTTTCTTCAGCTGTAACGTGTAACAGTTGCAGGAGAAGTGCTCAGCGCAGTTCCTGGCCCTGAGGAAGCACCTAAAGGAGTGAGGGGGTGGGGGAGGGCAACCACGGGCCAGGAAAGAGATCGTAAACTTGAGGGCTGGCCCCGTGGCCGAGTGGTTAAAGTTCCATGTGCTCCGCTTCGGCGGCCCGGGTTCACAGGCCCGGTTCCCGGGCATGGACCTACACCACTCATGAGCTGTGCTATGGAGGTGCCCCACATACAAAACAATAGAGGAGGATTGGCACAGATGTTAGCTCAGGGCGAATCTTCCTCGGCAAAAAAAAAAAGAAAAGATCATAAACTTTAATGGTCAAATTTCAAGACCAAGCAGGCGGGGTGTGGGAAAGGACAACTTCTTTCAAATCCCAAGACATAGGGCACCTCCACTGCATTTCTCATTCCAAGAGACTTCTGTTCGTTTCTCACGGACTCATTCATCCACCCTTCATTCATTCGTCATTCAATCAGCATGCGTCTGCTGGGAGCCAGGCACTGTGCTGGGCCCTGGGGAGAGAGTAGCCCCAGATAGACAGTCCCAGCCTCCTGGAGCTGACAGTCGGTGAAGGGGGAGGGGTGGAGAGAAGAGGAAGTAAGGGAGGACACCTCTGTGGGAGCCAGAAAGGCCTGAGGACTGCTGTGCATAGTGGGGTCTGGAAGCGTCCCTCGAAGGCCTGTCTTTGAGCTGAGCCCTGGAGGATGAGGAGCCGGCCTGGCGTTCCAGGTAGAAGGGGCAGCAGGTGCAAAGGCCCGGAGGAGAGAGGAGCTTCTTGAGGTCCGAGAAAAGCAGAGTGGCCATGGGGGTGGGATACAGGGAGTGGAGGGAGATGGGTGACCGACGGGCAGGCGCCCCCCATTCCAGGTGGCACCCTGACCTACCCCCCCGGACAGTCACTGCCCCTCTGCTTGTCTTTCGCCAGCACCACGCCCGCCCCTGCCCGGCCTGCGGCCTCATTGCCCGCTCCGACGAGCACCACCCTCCTGTGCTGCCCCCCCCGGTGGCCCTGCCCCTGCGCCTGGGCGGCCGGTGGGTCAGCCCCGGGTGCGAGGTGCGCCCCGCCGTGCTGTTCCTCACCAGGCTCTTCACCTTCCACGGGCACAACCGCTCCTGGGAAGGGTATTACCACCACTTCTCGGACCCCGCCTGCCAGCAGCCCACCTTCACCATCTACGCGGCCGGCCACTACACCAGGGGCACACCGTCCGCCAAGGTTCGGGGCGCCACCGACCTGGTGTTCCAGGTCACGCGGGCCCACGTGACCCCCATGGACCAGGTCACCACGGCCATGCTCAGCTTCTCCGAGCCGAGCAGCTGCGGGGGCCCGGGGGCCTGGTCCCTGGGGACAGAGCGGGATGTCACGGCCACCAACGGGTGCCTGCCGCTGGGCATCAGGCTCCCCCACGTGGAGTACGAGCTTTTCAAGATGGAGCAAGACCCCCTCGGGCAGAGCCTTCTCTTCATCGGACAAAGGCCCACGGACGGGTCCAGCCCTGACACCCCCCAGAAGCGCCCCACGTCCTACCAGGCGCCCCTGGTGCTCTGTGACGCGGAGGCCCGGGACTTCTCCAGGCCCCCGCCGCCCAGGCCGCAGCTGCAGAAGCCCCTCAGTGGTGGGGGGCCGTGTCGTCGGGGGGCCACTCTCCCCTTCCTGCTCCTGGTTCTAGGGCTGGCCTTCCTGGAGAGGTTATGAAGTTGGTCGACTCCCAGACGGCTCCTCGGGACACCGTCCGGCCCTGCAGACCCCCTCCCGCAGACTCGTCCATCCCCCTGCGAGGAAGGCCCGTCGTCTCCCCTACTCTGTCGTGGACGGTTGCACGGCCCTGCTGCTGTCAGCTCAGCCTGTGTCCTGGCGGCTCAGCTCCTGCCAAGTCTACACCACGGCCAGCGACTCGAGTCCTGCCCACGAGCTTGGGCGTCGTGGCAATGTCAATTGCGATGAGTTTCTACAGGCTCACTCCCAATGCTCGTGGGCAGTTTGAGGACCAGCCGGGGACTGGACCACACGGGGTCTCCCTGCCTGGCAGCACCCCTTTCTCTCCCTGCGCCCTCGGGATTTTGTGAAATGGGAGTGAGGTTCTGCATGGGGATGCCGCTGCGGCTCTGCCGAGTGTGTGGGTGGTTGTTTCAAGATTATTAATTTGAATTTACCAAAACAAACTCAAAGCGAAGCCATGAGTTAAAGATGCTGCCTCAGGCTGTCAGTGCTCCTCAGCTTTCTGGCAGAGGGCTCGTCTCTTCAGGGGCAGCTCCGCTGTCTTGAGTTCTGACTGCTGGCACGTGTCTGCAGCTGCCTGTGCCTCTGCAAGTCAGGCCCCAGGCGGTCAGCACTGCGTGCACATAAATCCAGCCCTCCGGGCCAGCACGCGAGCAAGGCGGCTCCATCTGAGCCGAGACACGCAGCCTCCCTTGCCCACGCCAAACACCAGCCGGCGCTGGGCGGGCTGCTGGGGGCAGGGCTTGCGAGGAAAGCGGTGTTTCCAGCCTTTGGAAAGTAATTAATACTAATGATAGTGGTAACACCAACGTGCTCTGTAATTAGCCCTACACAGGCGTCCTCTGTTTTCAAGATTCCCTCTGCTTGACCGACAAGGAGGGAGAGAAACCTCCGAATGTGTCTTTGGGGCCACCCTCGGGAGAGGTCAGGGTCACCAGGCGACACGGCAACATCTGGAGGAGGCAGAGCCTGGTCGCCATGATGCTAATATGCTGATGGCCTCCTCTGCTCAGAGGGGCTGTCATCAAGGTGGGCACAGGCTGTGCCTCTCCAGGGCCCCTGCCTGTGTTCCCAGGGCCTCGTCTGTACACTGCAAAATTAACTGGCATCCTGGTGAGCTCCAGGGTTTCCGGGACCCCGTGCCCACAATTCGCCCCTCCTTCCTCCACCCGATTCCTATCTCTGGCTCTTATCACAGATCTTGAACAATTGTGTCCGAGGCTAATGATGCTTTCAGAGGGAAGACCTTGTCCTCCGTTAGATTGTGTGGGGTTCAATCAGCCCACTGAAATTGCTCTAACTTATCTACCCATTCTTAAAAAAAAAAAAGAACGAAAGAAACCCACCAAGTTAATATTCTCTGTAGGTCTCAGAGAGCTACAAGTGTTCTTGGCATATTTACCAAAGTACAAGAAATAATTAGATTATTTACGGTCTCAGACTGCGTCGAGGTGGGGGTTCTTGGTGGGGATGAGGGTGGGTGGTGATAATGTGTCCACAGCTGAGCAAGTCTTGTATCCGAGGCTTGAGGCAACCATGTCATCATTAATCATCAAATTTGAATCTTTTAATAAAATTAAACAGCTTGAAAAATGTTCTTGCTGGTTATTAAAGTCAACCAAGGGGATTATGATTCTAAAGAAAGGAAGTGAAGTGTCTTCCAGAGAACATGTGAAGGAGCATAAAACCAGTGAAGGTAAACTCTGCTGTCTCTGTTATGTGCCTTCAGTTCACGCTACTGCCCTGCCCTGCTTAAAACTCTCCAGAGGCTTCCAGTGCACTCTGAATAAAATCCCAACTCCTCGCTCACTGATGCCTGCCAGGCCCAGCCATACCTCCCCACTCCACGGCTGCACTGGCTTTCTTTCTGTTTCTTGATCACGGCAAGCTGCCTCCTGCCCCAGGGCCTTTGCATGTGCCATTGCTGCTGCCTAACATCTCTTCCCCCAGATCTTCAGAAGCTTGGCTCAATTCTTTTCATTCAAGTCTCAGAGTGAATGTCACCTCCTCAGGGAGGCCCACCATCAGCATCCCAAAAAAGCAGCCTCCCTTTCTCTTCTGTCCTCCTGTCTATCCCATCACTCTGTTTTACATTCTTTAAAATGCTTACTTATCACTGTCTGAAATGATTTATTCAGGCTTCTTCTCTGCCTCCTCTACCATGAATGCCAGCTCCCTGGGTAAAGTCTGTCACTGTCATCTTTTCCAGTAGCTTCAGCCATGCCTGGCACATGGCAGAACCTCAGTAAACACGGTTGGGTAATGAAACACTGGGGATCCCAGTTAATCCTCACCCCAGAATCTGTGACGAGGTCGCTGCTCATGCCAGGTCCGGTGTCCCGCAAGGGAGGCCCAACAGTGCGGGTGAGGGTGACTCTGCCTCTTGCACCTGAAGACGCTAAGGCTCGGTGCAGAGGAGGGGCTTGCCCAAGGCCCCACAGGCTGAGGTCTGAGCCTCCATCTCGGGGTGTCCTCCGGGGCTCTGCTCCCATGGCAGGGGTAGGATTCTTTGTATCTGGGGAAAGCAATTCAGAGCTGCTCTGTGGGACTCAGCGTGAGCCACCTCTAATTAGGAGGCATGTGTTGGGAAGAGAGAAGGTTCCTGGCCCCGTTGACTGGACTGAGGTGCCCCCCGCCCCCCGGGCCTTCTGTTCTGGAGCAGTTGATGCCGATAGAACATACCAAGGCTGGAGAAGGGACAACAGGCCTTTTCTCCCCGGCAAGAGGCCACGCTCCCCAGACTCGGGGCTCAGATGAGGAGGGGTCAGTTTGGGGCCGAGGGGCCAGGGTTCGGCCCACGGACACCCACCCACCTTTCTTTACTCATCGTGAGTCTGGACCTTCCACATAATACCTGAGATAGCTTTAATCAAAAGAGAGCAAAGTAAAACCCATAGTTCTAGTACAAAACAAAACAAAACAGAATTAATGGTCTCCACTGTATGTTCAGTCACGTTTAAAAGGAAAAAAAAAAACCCGTGCAGTTTATAATTTCATAGCGCAAGCTCCCAGGAGAGCAAATGAGCTTTTTTTTTAATAAAAAGTTTAAATTGTATACAGCTCTCAGAGGCCCATTAGCTAACAGATGCTGGTTATCAAAAGAAGTGATTTCTTTGCTTCTTCTAAGCGAATGTGTTTAATCTCCCAGCGGTGCTACTGGCCTGAGGAAGCGGCTAACGTGGCGCAGGCTGCCGCGCTCGGCCGGCCTCAGGGGGCCCGGTGACTCAGGCGTGACTCAGGTGTGAGGAGGCTGGCGGGGAGGGGACAGCACTTCCTGACGCAGAGGAGGGACCCGCATGCGGGCGGCCGTGCCCGGAGCCGCCTCCCAGCCATTAGCGGGGCCCAGCGGGGGGGCCGGCTCCTTCTCACACGCGTCACCCCCATTACGTTCCTGTGAGCATGGGTTCCCAAGAACTAACCTCCAAGCTTCCAGGCCCACCCTCCTCCCACCTCCTTTCCACTCCATCCTCCACCCCGGCTGGCCAGCCCCTGCTATTCTTAAATCACGTCGAACCCGGTCCCTCCCTCTCCGGGTCTCTGCACCAGCTCCTCCCTCTGCCTGGACGGCTCTGCCCACCCCACTCCCACCTCAGACCCTTTTATTTTCACCACAGCACTTATGGGGATCTGAGATACACTCCTCGTTCGTTTCCTTATTTCCTGTCAGCCTCTCTCCTCTGCAATGGGTTCCTCGACAGAGGGCCTTGTCTGTCTTTTCCCCACTGTAGCCCCCACGGTGTGGACCGGCCCTGGCACCTAGGAGGGGCTCCATCAACACTGTTAACTGAGGAAACGCTCTCAGAGCTCGTTGGAGCTCTGAATTCAAGCATCAAGTTGACAACCACACACTCTAAATTGGGATTTTGATGTTGCTGTTTTTTTTTAATAAGATGGGCAGAGCAGAACCCAGAACTGTGGTTCTCCTTCAGCCAGGCTCTCTCCAGGACAGGCACTGGGAGCAACTGCTGTCCTGGACGAGGCTGCCACAGGGCGACACGGGGTCGCCTGAGAGTCCATCTCAGGTTTCTCAACCTACAGAGGTCAGGGAGACAGTGAGGCCCTCGGCCTCATGCAAGCACCTAAGACTCTCCATCTTTAGCTGTAAAGCCCCCGGCTTCAGTGTCCTCACCTGCAAAATGAGCTGAAACCTGGTGATTCCTGGAGCCATCCTGCCCTGACACCTGGAAAGACCATAACCAGTAAGTGATTCAAGAGGCATCAGCAATGTGTTCTAAGAGGAAAGGCGTTAAGCAAAGACACTCTCAGTGAGGATGGGTCTCTTCCCCATGATGTCTTATTTATTTCCTAGGGGTTGTTAATTAATAACCTACTACTCTTTCTCCTATATTTGGTATTTTTTTAATCCCTCAGGAGAAAAAAAGTTAACAGAAAACTTAGGTGGTCATTGCTTCTGTTAAAATCAACGGTGTCAATTTAGTAAGTCCTGCATCTATGTCTTGAGCACCAACACGAGCCAGGTCCTGTACTGGGTGCCTTGGAAGGAAGGCCTTCCAGGCTTCCCGCTAAAGTGGCCAAGAGAAACACATGCTTTTACCTCCGCCTCCTTCTGAAGTCCCAATAAATTATGGGAAAAGAATAAAAAGGCACAAAGTCACACAGATAAACACAGGAGAAGAGAACACAGCCAACAAGAGATGTCAGCAAAATGCTGGAATCTGGAAAGCTGATGGGCAACTTATCATTGACAGCAGACTACGGAAAGCAGAAAGGAAAGCGCTGGCAGGCTGGTTGAGGGGTGGAGCTCAGAATCAAGTCCACTAGTGCCACAAACGCTTAGGAAATCGTGGCCCAAGTCACCTCAGAGGCAGGAGAGCAGTGGGGCTGAAAACAGGAGGACCATTTGACGTCTGCATGTCGAAGTGGTTTTACCCCCGGACCCTCTCCCTTATCCCTGTAAGACACCAGAAACTGATCAGGGGATCTGTGGACTTGGAGACTGTCCAGGGCAAGATATCAAGCTG